CACTTATTTTCAACAGTCGCTCTTTTACAAACGTTTTAACAACTTTAGCAATGAACGTTAACTTCAACAATACTTCCTGATTGCAGTTCAATTACTCACTACCTACACACACATTATTCTACCGTCACGTTGTCACCCTCTTATATATATACCAGACTACCCTATATCTAGTAATTTCCCGACAATTCACGAAGGTACAAGATATTTCCAGAAAGCAGGGGGCGTGACACTAGTCACGTGACCTCGCTGACGCAACACATGTAACACGGTTTATACTGCCTGACGAAGGGCTTCTGCCCGAAACGTTGCACGTAATAATAAAAAAAGTTTTGTTATAGACGTGTGTTTTAACATTTTTTATTTTTTCAAAAAACAGTAACAGTCAATAACACGTAATTGTTTTGTTGTTTACTTCATAGGAATACAAGAATGAGGCGGAATTTTCTGGATACTGACGTCATTTCATCATGGGAAGTTGACCGCAGTTTCTTCCACGTGAAACATCTTTTTAAAGGCAATTCTGAAGTCTCTGTTTTTCCAACCATAGATGACAGGATTTACAGCAGACTTCCCAAAGTACAGACAAACAATAAATCGCTTGAGGAACCCGAACAGCTCCTGGTACGTCTCATCCAAGTAACGAAGACTGATTACGATTAAATATGGCAAAAATCCCAGTAAACATACACCTAGGACTAACACCATCGTCCATGTCATGCGCGCCTCTTGGCGGACACGACTATTCACTTTTAAGGCGGCCACAGCTCGTGACTGTTTCCACGCTTCGCAGAAGACGATGCAATGCAGAACGGTAGTGATAATTAGGGTTAGAAGGACGTGAAATGCCACAACTATTAAAGCGTAGGTGCTCGAGTGAAGGTAGTACAAGTCACATTCTTTGGCAGAGTCGAAGGTTTCTCCGATACCGACCAAGGGGAGCGAACTGATGACCCCCATGTACACCCACACGACCGCTATGTAACCCGAGACACAGCGGTATCTCATGATGCGATGATACGACAATGGATGCAAAATGGCGACGTACCGATCGACGGCAACTCCCATGAGACAAAGCATCGAGCAGCCCGAGGCGTAGATTACGAACCAATATCGAAGCAGACAACTGTATTTACTACACACCAGAGGCAGGTCAAAGTAGAAGAGCACATAGAAGGGCACGTTGAGCCCAACCAATAAATCAGCAACAGCTAGGCTTACAACGAACATGTTGGTGATAGTGCGTAACCAAGGGAACCGATACACGGCGACCAGGACTAGCGTATTCCCCAAAACAGCAAACAAAGCAAGTGTAAGGTCAATAAACACAATGATTGGGATGGTTATGTCAAATGTTGCCTGGAAACATCTTATGGTTGTTTCGTTTTCAGCATTCAGACGAATTTCTTTAAAACTAGAATTGTTCATTATGACGAGACCTAACATACATATAATAAAACTAATCCATGTTGGCGCGTATTTTAGTAACGAACTGGTAGAGGAACCATCACGTTGGAGATCATATAATAATGAACCGGTAGATGAACTGTATCGTTAGCCACCATGTTGGAGATCATTTAATAATGAACCAGTAGATGAACTGTATCCGTTAGCCACCATGTTGGAGATCATTTAATAATGAACCGGTAGACGAACTGAATCGTTAGCCACCATGCTGGAGATCATTTAATAATGAACCGGTAGATGAACTGTATCGTTAGCCACCATGTTGGAGATAATTTAATAATGAACCGGTAGACGAACTGTATCGTTAGCCACCTTGTTGTAGATCATATAATAATGAACCGGTAGACGAACTGTATCGTTAGCCACCATGTTGGAGATCATTTAATAATGAACCGGTAGATGAACTGTATCGTTAGCCACCATGTTGGAGATCATTTAATAATGAACCGGTAGATGAACTGCATCGTTAGCCACCATGTTGGAGATCATTTAATAATGAACCGGTAGGTGAACTGTATCGTTAGCCACCATGTTGGAGATCATATAATGATGAACCGGTAGATGAACTGTATCGTTAGCCACCATGTTGGAGATCATATAATAATGAACCGGTAGACGAACTGTATCGTTAGCCACCATGTTGGAGATCATTTAATAATGAACCGGTAGATGAACTGTATCGTTAGCCACCATGCTGGAGATCATATAATGATGAACCGGTAGATGAACTGTATCGCTAGCCACCATGTTGGAGATCATTTAATAATGAACCGGTAGATGAACTGTATCCATTAGCCACCATGTTGGAGATCATTTAATAATTTAATAATGAACCGGTAGACGAACTGTATCCGTTAGCCACCATGTTGGAGATCATATAATAATGAACTGGTAGGTGAACTGTATCGTTAGCCACCATGTTGGAGATCATATAATAATGAACCGGTAGATGAACTGTATCCGTTAGCCACCATGCTGGAGATCATTTAATATTGAACCGGTAGATGAACTGTATCCATTAGCCACCATGTTGGAGATCATTTAATAATTTAATAATGAACCGGTAGACGAACTGTATCGTTAGCCACCATGTTGGAGATCATATAATAATGAACCGGTAGACGAACTGTATCGTTAGCCACCATGTTGGAGATAATTTAATAATGAACCGGTAGACGAATTGTATAGTAATGGAGATTATTTCAATAAGATATCAAGGCAACAAGCACACAAAAAATGTTCTTAATTAAAATAACTATCTTACGAGAAGTGGTTCACTTTGAATTTGTGAGAACAATAAAGTACGACATGACTGATAGTAGAAGCAACGAAGTGTTGGTTTTGTTATTCCATATAAGCCAATACCTTCTTACTGACCTTCAGTGTCGTGAAAACCATTGGTCAGCTACAAGCAGGTATTTAGCCAATACCTTCTTACTGACCTTCAGTGTCGTGAAAACCATTGGTTCATGCATGACGTACTCCCTCCATATAAGCCAGTACCTTCTTACTGACCTTCAGTGTCGTGAAAACCATTGGTTCATGCATGACGTACTCCCTCCATATAAGCCAATACCTTCTTACTGACCTTCAGTGTCGTGAAAACCATTGGTTCATGCATGACGTACTCCCCAGGATCCCGTTTCTGTCCTGTGAGGAAAATAAAAACACATGACAGACATTTATCAAAGAATCACACGCCAGCTGGCGAGCAAATTTGAAACTTTCACGACCGCAAAGATTGAAATCGTATGTGGATCGTAATTCACATTTTGGTTTTGTTTTGTTTATCCCCAGTCCATAAAATACAAGACATTACTGTTTAATTGACTATAATATATATATATATAGTTCACGACCAAGTATATATATATATTTATTTATTTAAAGATACTCTGATACCGTAAACTCTAGTTCACGACCAAGTATATATATATATTTATATTTAAAGATATTCTGATACCGTAAACTCTAGTTCACGACCAACTATATATATATATTTATATTTAAAGAGACTCTGATACCGTAAACTCTAGTTCACTACTGATTTTCTAATATTGTTACACAACTGGCTATACCGATATGGAAGTGCTCTGCTCCAACGTTTAGAATGTAAGGTCCCCCAGTGGGAGAGCGGTAAGCCTGGGAACGTTTAACGCTTAAATCCGGGGTTCGATCCCTGCGGTGGACACACAGTGGCTTTTCTCTAAAACAGAACAAACATATATTATTGTCTTTTAAGGAAAGTCAAGTTAATACGTTGATCCATCAGCCATATAAATGCTGTTGTTAAGCGCAAAGCTACTCAATGAGATATCTGTGCTGTGCGGGTATCTAAACTTGGTTGTTAGCGTTATAAACCTTCAGGTTTACCGCTGAGTCAGTGGGTGCAGGAATTTAAACTATCCAGTAAATATGAATTTTTTTTTTCACAAAGAGATAGAAAATATTAAGAAACTTTTACTACAAATGCCTTTCCAATAGATATTTTAATCAAGTAACTTATAATTAACTATTTAAACAATATGACTTTCTACTTAAGCTAACTAGAATATTTCTGTAGTCCTGCCACATACAAAGAAACTATTAGGGCCGACAGTTTATAACAACGAGTTTGTTTATTGCTAAATATTGGCGACCTATTAACGCTGATACAACTAACTTGAATTCCTGGCTTCATGCGTCAGTCAACAGAAGGACTGTTTACTGTTAATAGAATAAAACAGTATCAATTTTCTTCCTGTAAACTTACATAATTCGTGGCGGGTTAAGTGAAGTTACACTTCCACTATAAATACGAAGAAACAGTCGAGTGACGTCCTGTTGAAGTGTGTGGGTGAGATGGAAGAAAGTGCTGGACTACGAAAGTTATTGTAAAATTAATTATATTAGTCAATAGACTACTTCTGTTCGTGCGTTGAGGGAAGGGGGGAACGTTCATAAAAACTTATTTAGTAAACACCTTTACAACCAAGAAGCTATACGGAGAAACAAGTTAGTCAGTAGAGTCAGCATCTTAACCTTTTGTGTAAGAAACGCTTTACTTCTGAATGGAACTCCTTTTCAAATCCCACCAGCGTCAGCTCGCGCTCACTTCTTTTCGGCTTAGTTCTTACTACGTGCAACCTGATATGCACGAGGTGAAATGTAGGCGGCTGTTTCAATAGGATCTTACATTAGGTGTATTTGATAGAATGTGAATTGTCATCATTATTCTCCACACACCCATAACCATAAATCCATGATGAAGAACAAAAATAACCCAAGTAATACAAAAAAAACCAAGTAATACAAACAAACCCAAGTAATACAAATAAAACCTATGTAATACAAACAAACCCAAGTAATAGAAATAAACCCATGTAATACAAATAAACCCAAGTAATACAAGTAAACCCAAGTAATACAAGTAAACCCTAGTAATACAAGTAAACCAAAGTAATACAAATAAACCCAAGTAATACAAACAAACCCAAGTAATACAAACAAACCCAAGTAATACAAATAAAACCTATGTAATACAAACAAACCCAAGTAATACAAATAAACCCATGTAATACAAATAAACCCAAGTAATACATGTAAACCCAAGTAATACAAACAAACCCAAGTAATACAAACAAACCAAAGTAATACAAATAAACCCATGTAATACAAATAAACCCATGTAATACAAACAAACCCAAGTAATACAAAAAAACCAAGTAAACCCTAGTAATGCAAGTAAACCAAAGTAATACAAATAAACCCATGTAATACAAATAAACCCACGTAATACAAACAAACCCAAGTAATGCAAAAAAATCTATGTAATACAAACAAACCCATGTAATACAAATAAACCAAAGTAATACAAACAAACCCAAGTAATACAAATAAAACCTATGTAATACAAACACAACTAAACGTAGTAATGCAAATGAGCTAGAATGAAGATATGCAATTAATTCTAAATGTAATTATGTAAATAAACGTAAGTGTGGTCATAGAAAGTAAACCCAACATGTCAGAATACAAATAAAGCCAAGTGCAATAATTTGAATAAACCAAAATGATTCGCTTAGTCTTAAGATAAACGGAGTTTCAAGGAAAAAAATCGATCTTTCTAGACTCAAGGAATATTAGTGATAATCCAGAAATCCAATAGAAAGTCACGTAGAATGTAATTCAGGTTTAATTTTTTATTCTAATAACCAAAATTTGAATTTTGACAAGAAAAAATATGAGAGTTTTAGTCTATTTTTCGATTCGCCATTTGCCTCTGAAACTCAGTAATCTTGTAAAGGGGCAAATAGAAGAACAGGACAAGGTATCTTGTAGTGGTGGGGGCCAGGCACGGCCTGATGGTTAGCTTGCTAGAGAGTTCCATGTTCGCATTACTCTCCCCCCAAAAACGTGCTATGTACTTTAGAACATTTGGTGCGTTGTAAGAATGGGGGTCTAGTTGTTATTCTTTAGCTGCTTTCCCCCTGTCTATTAATTCAAAATTAGGGGCAGCTATAATGACGAACTATGGTTCATGTGTATGGTGTTTGGAATGTCCTTACTCACCACATGAGACCTATGTTAATATAAGATTCCTTTCGGTGAATAAAAAATAGTTTACCATACCCATAATTGAACACTGGCTTATTTGAAAACAGCCATAATCTTTAGCTTTTTTTTTGTTTGTTTGTTTAGGGTCTTTGTTAAACTGTTTATTAGTGTTTGAATTGTGGCTTTAAAACAGGTCGTTTATACTTTGAATTATAGCTTGGTTATGTTTTATATCCGACATTTTAGCATTATATAATGAATACCTCGTTTACATTTTTGAAAATGAACAGTTAGTTTACTTCACAAGCATAAAAGCAGTTGCAAAAGCTAAACCCAAACACAGTTTAAATTCCAAAAGGTGTATTTCTAACGAGCACCCACTTACTTAAAAAGAGTCACATTTGCGTGATTTGTGAAAATGTTTGTGAAATAGTTGAATTTTCTGATTTGTAATCGCACTTCACATTGTGGATACTCAATTATCAAAAAATAATTCGAAGAATTGTATTACAGTTTGAAATAATAGTTGTGTATAGTATAATACGATAGATTCAATTAAAATACATAACAGTCAAAACTAAATAAAACAACTTATAACTTTACTACTAACTGTTTTTAAATAACACTGATTTTATAGATAAAACAAATATCTTTCAGAGAAGAAGAAAGTAAAAAAAGGGCCTAATATGTACGAGAAAGTCAAAACTTTCCGTAGGCCTAAGATTTATAAGAAAGTCAACATGTTCAGTAGGCCTCATATTGATGAGAAGGACAAAACACTCAATACGCCTAAT